ACGAGTATATATAAGACATTTTTCTCTTTCCTCCGATTCCTCTTCCCGCACGACACACCCATTGCCCGCGGTTCTACCGACTTTTGTTATTATTATTTTCTTCACCCTTGCTCATTTTTTTCCCCTCTTTCTTTTTGTCCGTACTTCTTGTACCGTGAAAGCGCTAACCATTCCGTAGATTTGATCGCGTAACCGGGCCACGGTAGTCGACGGTAGAGGTATGGTGGAAAAGTCACGGTCAAGCGAGTTTCCATTCCGATCTGTTCCCATTCACCACGCACCTGCAGTGCTCACCCACCTATCAACGGAGATTTTTTTCTCTAATCATAACGCGCCATCTCCCACGTACATCGAGTAAGTAAGTTTTGGGGAGAGGACATAGATTTTTATGTTTTCAAGCCCTCCGCCCGCCGCGATCACGGGCATGGACAACAATACCACCTGACAAGCCGACCCGAAGACAATTTTGATTTCTCATATATTATGAAACTAGTGTATTTGCGATTTATGCTTTTGAAACACACTCACAATTTATGGTTCACTGGCATTTATATCGTCAACCACAATGGCAAGATGACCGAATTTTCAACTCGATGTTACGAACTTTTTCTACACGTATCTGTGATTTGTTTTCACAGATGAGTTTTGAAATAAAATATGTACCTTTACCCTATTTAAAACTATTTTCACTCCGGTAAAATGGCTGTAAAATTATATATTAGCTAATACACCGTTCATATGGTTTTCTGTTACATTGTAGTGTAACATCGAAGAAAAACTACCAAAACCACACTTTTCAGTTTTAATTAGAAATAAAAGACCGAATTAAATAATCATTATATATTTATCAACTTGTGTGTACTTAGTATCTATCTAGTGGATATGTTTTATCCATAGGTGCATAGAGTATATAAGAAAACTTGAAATAAACCCAACAAAGTCAAAACTTTACATCAACTTTAAATATAAGTGTAGATGTATAAATAATATAGTAAAACAACTTTATACCATATAGATATATGTATATTGTTTAGTGAAAGTATACATTTTCAATATAATGATATATTTATAGACAATTATTTTTATACCTACCTACCTAACCATATTGTTTATTCGACCAACAATTACGTGAGTTTTAATCAGTCATTATTTATTTATGAGCCATTAAAAAAAAAAACAAGCAAAGTATTTATGCTGTATGCTGTATCTATAGAAGGTTCGAGTGTCTCTCGTTATTGAGTAGGTCTCTGTAAAGGATATATTATATTTGATTTCAATGACAAATCTATTCTGAGTGGATACTGTCTGTCAGCCTATATTTTCAAAGATATTTTAATATAATATTATGGATTTATATTACTATTAATGAATTTTTATATAAGTAATACCATTTAATTAAAACACAGTAGGTTGGACTAATTGTTTCCATGCTTTAAACCGAGACTAAACTACAGGCTACTTGGTAATGTCAAACGTTGACCAGTCATAATAAATGTATGCGTGGTTTTACAATCAACTTTTATTTTAATTTTAAATTGAAAAAAAAATTATTAAGGAAACTTGTATCACACTTTTAAACGATTCATATAAAAATTAAACATTTTATGAAATTAATTAGAAGATAATTTACAACTTATTGGGATTTTAACAAAATTAGTAAAAATATGAACTTTAAACGCTTATGAAAAAAAAATTAAACATTAAAATATTTTCAATATTTTGTAAGTATTTGTTGTAAGAAAACATAATGAAATCTTGTGTTAAATTTTCTAGCATTCTTACTCGAAAACAATAAATTTGTCATACAAAAATTGAAAAAAAAAAACATCTTAGATACCAATAGCACAAAAAGAGCCAATTAAAAAAAAAAATGAGATCCTCCTTATACAGTGCTGTATTATTTTTGAAGAAAACAGTTTTTCAATGTATTACATTTTTCAATTACCACAAATTAACTATTTCGATTTTCTCAGAAATTGGCCATGCGTGGAAATTTCCGTACTTATTACTTTAAATTTGTATTGACTTTTCCTGATTATTTAAAATGTACTTAATATTTTTGACTCGCTTTTTACAAAACCCACCATTACTCATAACCAAAAAATTAAATAAAAAAAAAAGAAATAGTGACTAGAACTTATTCAATTCATTTTTGAAACCAAGTTAAGATTAAAGCATTTTTAGAGCTCCACAAAGTGTCGTAAATCACAAAAAAAACCATTGTGAAATCTGAATTATCATTCTGAATTTGAAAGAGTCTAATAACTTAATAAATATCATGTATTTAAATGTTCAGTTCATGATAGGGTAGTATTTAATTTCATTACCCAATATTTATAAACTGTATTTTAACATGTGCATGCTATTAAATCTCAAAATAAATGTATGACACTCCAGCAATAGACAGTAGATATTATTTACTTGAAAAAATATTAATATAGTATTTAGTATGAAGGTTAAAAAAAAATAAACAAATGTATTAATAAAATGTAATAAAATGTAAAATATTAATTAATGTACAAATAAATTATACAAAGTAACTATGAAATTTGAATTGTTTTTGTTAATAATATCCATCAGTTTTAACTGTTCGTTTTTTGACAAGAACTAGCTTATTAAAAACATTTTAACAACGCCGGCTTGCTCCTAACATATTTTTAATCATTTTTATAAATCATTCTGTTTTATTTTTTATTATTATTCCAGTAGACGCAAAGTAAAAAAATAATTCACAACGACATTTTCCATAGTGTAGATTTATAATTTTTATATTTTAAATCATTCATTAAAAACCGAAAATGTGTTCTTGTAATGTGCATAAAGTTGAAAAAGTTATCAGAATTGGCTTTATAAATGGATGTATTATGCCACTATGACCTATTCATTAGTGTATTTACTTAGATTAGTTACCTTATAATATTATTCTCACTTGAAATGTAACTGAGAATTTTCCGATACAATCATATTATACTTTGAAGGTTAGCATTTCGGAATTATAAATAACTTAGTTATAGCTAGATTTGTATAACATTACACTTCAATAAAATATGGAATTACTTATACATAAGTATACATAAATTCATAAAAAACTACATATTTAAATTTGTTATTAAAATAAATGCCAAACCACTTGTTTAACTAAACTAGGTATATATTTTGTTACTTTATATTAATCTATTATTTAGTTGTAGAAAAAAACTGTCAAAATATTTATATGTCTGAATAATATAGCATGCGAGGTGAACCCACAGAGTTACACTCGAAAAAGCTTTTCAAGCTACACATAAGTAAGATACAATGAAACCTCTAAATACCGGACACTCTTGGTAACTGAAATGTTGTCCGCTACTCTAGGCTTTAGTTGGTAAAATGTGGATTTGTTTCTTGCCCAAAAAAACGTCCGCTATTTAGAGGTATCCGTTAATGGAGTTTTCACTGTAATATATTTTAGTAAACTGAGTTTGGCGAAATTATTTTTCATTATCTAATGATTTTTATTTTATATTACTTTATAGATTATTAATAACTTGTGGTCAAATTATATTTTGATTTCTAGAAAAACCAGACCAACATAATATTATTATTCAAGTTGGCCACCTTAAATTGTACTATAGTAAGCTATTTGTTTTTATCAGGTTATTACAATTAAAATAATTATATTAAATGATAAATATTTCATATAATATAAATATTCAGGGCGACGGTAGTGGCGCGAAGCTAAGTAAAAAAAAATATCGGAGTAGCCACTAACGTATAATAACAGGAAACCGAGTTTTAACATTGAAAAATCGTCCTAATTTATATCAATTCTTTGCCAACCTCTGCAGGGCAAACGGCTGAACATACAAAGTCGTATGAGGTATCAATCGATCAGAAATATTGTGCAGATGGGAGCAAAGAAACTCGCTAGCAGATTGGTTTGATAGTTTATAAGTTCTAAACAAAAATGTTCAATTATTTTTAAGACCGATGATACTAAAATATCTTAATTAATATCCCCTGACCCTCTACTTATCTATTCCCACTACTCTCATCGCTGCTGCGGCGGCGAAGGCGGAGACGACGTTCTACGACGACGACGTACGAAGATTGCCGGCAACCATTTAGTATTTACCATTATACAATTTCGTGTATTGCTGACAAGTGACGACCAGTGATATCACACCAAAAACTCCGTGTAAAAAAAAGCTAAGTTAAAAAAAAAAATGTTTGTAATAATTAAATCTTTAAAAGACTTGATATAATATGGAAATTAAGTGAAATGACATTTTATAATATTACAAATATTTATGATGGCAAATAAGATCAATTGTAATGTTAAATACTTAGTCAACATGTTATGTTTAACTATTTTTCAGGATGTAGAATTATACTTAAATAAATACAACTAAGTAATCACTACACTATTTACAGTAACTAATAATGTATCAACAATATGTTGACCAAGTATTTAACATTACAGTTGATCATATTTGTCATCATAGGTGTTTGTGTTATTATAAAATGTTATTTTAGTTAATTTCCATATTATATCACGTATTTTAAAGATTTAATCATTACCCACATTTTTTTTTTTTTTTGTTACTTAGCTTTTTTTATAGCGAAGTGTTTTTGGTGTGGTAAATATGTACAGAATACTGCATAATATTATGTAATATAAATCAAGTTTAAAATAAACATAATATATTTAGTATCAATAATACATAATATTATGTGATTAATTTAAATACTTATAGGAAGTATTTTTTGGTGGAATAAACAAGCCTTAAATATAGTAATGCTAGTGTCAGAAAAAATCAACTAGATAATGTTCCTCGCTTGCCCACATTGAAATTTTCCAAAATTGTTAGCAATTATTATTTAGCATAATATAAGTAACATTTACACATCATTCCAAGATCAAATTATAGGAAATAAAACCACAAAAAACCATTACTCCCGGAAAAAAATCGAATCTCATGAACTATTTGTGAAAGTGGTGTAGATGGCGTGACGTGCCATCAAAGCTTTCTCCAGTCCGTGCCATCACCAATTTTTTCACCCACTTCTTTGTCGTGTTCGTCTGGAAATCGGATATCCGGCTGCAACTTATTGACGAGACATGGACATTCCAGATTCGACGTGGAATACTGTGATGGACTTTTCCGATCTGCGTTGGTCGCTACTTCAACCGAAAACCATCGCTTGTCATCGGCTTCCCCATAATGTGTCCTCGGCCCTCTCCTTGTACGATCTGCGGTGCTTATGGTATCGTTCGTGGTCGTCGTCAAGTTTTCGACCACCACGTCGGTCGTTGTAAATAATTGATCAGTTGTCGTCTCGATCGTCTCTTCTTGTAGCTGAGGGGTGACGGACTGACCATCTTCAAATGAATGCTGCCTATTTCTCCAATCAGCCATCATCAATCTTGCTGACGCCGGGTTCTTACCGTGTGCGATCAAGACTGTGGCCATAGGTGACGATGGTAAGGATTTTGACATTTTCAAGTCAAGATTGAAAGCTGAGCTTACTGTGGACTTCTGAACATCCCGGAATGTGATTGCGTTTGCTGTTTTGGTAGGTGATACGCTGTATTTGTTTAAACAATTTCCCTTCCTCATCGTGTGTGCCTTGTTTACCACCTCCATTGACCTAGCTACATTATGATATGAGGGTTCAACAACATTTAGTAGATCCACAACCGACGACGGTATAGGATATCCTCCGGCTTGCTGCATTCTGGTGTAAAGTACGGACACAATGACAATTATTTGGAACATTTTCAAGAATGCTTTGAAAAACTATAATGAGGTATAGTTAATGTCGATCAAGTTTTTTGAATTAACTGTCAAAAAATTATAGACAGTTTCATTGAAAATCGAGAAACTTGTACGTGTAATTACGTATATTTTCCGCGCACGTACCTGACTTCTAAAGACCAGCCATTCGGACCCTATAAATAAGTATTTTTTTAAACTAAAGAAACTTTTAAAAATATTAATGCTTATTCCTAGGGCAAAAAATATACTAATACTATGACTACTTATTTTTTTATTTTATCTCATCGCTGGACTCGGGGAAGGACTTTGCTTTGCTTTCCCTCCCAGTCGCCATCGAACCACTACTACTACTACTACTGCTAAAAATAATAATAATATTAAGTAATAATCAATTTACATATAAATGTGAAATTCTTTAAAACAATCAAGACAAAATCCAAGGCAATCCTTTTCATTTTTGACAAAAAAACGAAGTCATTTTCCGTATGCTTTCTGAAGTCACAATTTTCATCGATTGTAAATAGTTCTTAAATAGTTATTTATTATTGGTTACCATGCGTTTTTATGGATATTTAATATTTAAATAAAATAATATAATGAATTTATTGTTTTATACAACAAAAAAAACGATACAAATTTTAATATATACCTGCTTTATACATTAGTGTTATGAACGCATTAGCTATTAGTATATAGTATTAGCCCTTTGTATTAGAATATAAGAGTATATTATTGTAATCTGCGGGTAACGCCTAATGTGTGGGTTACTCCCGGAATATTGCAGCTACACGGCAGCCGCTAGGGAACCGTGGAGTCAGTCGTCTTAGCTCTTTTAAACCTGTACGTCGTTCTGACAGTCAATTATAAAATATATTACAGTGAATTATAAATTTCGACTCACAATAAAATTATATTAGTATTTAAATCTTTAAAACTGTTTTGTTGTACTCTCTCCAAAAATTGAACCCTCACACTACCGAAATAACAACGTTCAAACGGAACAACCCGTACGAGCACAACATTAGTATAATACATGTGATCTATATAATATACCTATATATATTTTTAAATCTCCATTAAACTAATCGAAATGTGAAACCATTATGTAAAAATAGGGTTACATGTTTAACACATTAAAGAGATAAAATTATATATGGATAATTATTATTTCCTGATGTTACTTTTTCAAAGTATCAAAGTGTATGAATACATAAATATTTCTTCTCCTTTTATGTTTTACTATATATTAAATATATCTTAATATATTATCGAAGAGTTAGTTTTTTTTTATAATAATTTTAAAGTTGTTTTTTAAGAACTGTTTGAAATTTAGGTACCTACATTACTTTTCTTTGTGGATGCATCATGTTCCATGTTCGAATTGAATTTTAATCAGATACATAATATTATTAATACAAACTAGTTTATTTATAACAATACATTCAAATGTTCGGACAATTACAACAAATAATATGTTTTTTGTTTAGTCTAAGAGAACGTTATGGTGATCAAATATTTAAGTAGTATTTAAATTTAAAAATATTGCATTAAAAAGTTTACTAGGTGATGTACAAAAAAAATAATAATTATGTATTACTTCTCTCTGAAATGTCTCTAGCAATTGCGATATAGATCAGAAATAAAATAATGGTATGGCCTCGAGGAAATTGAAAAGTCGAGTACCAACTATATAAATAAATTACATTTCAGTTTAACTAGAGTACAAGTGTTTTATTTTTATCTTTTTATAACACTGATTGGTTGTAAAGAATTTTTTCCTCAAGTCTTTTCTATACTTTTAGAGTTGCAATAATATTCCACTGATTATTTTTTCTTGTACCTAAGTATATTTTTCTTATTCTTTGATTATTTCTATTTAAGAATTTTTATAGACTATAAGAATAACGAAATTTGATAATAGCAGTTTTTCATTGGTTCACTTTGTTTGACTGGTAGTATAACTTGAAAATTACGCGAAATAACGTCATGGGTTTCGATATGTAGCCGAAAAGTCGAAACAAATTAAATATTATTTTTTTTACAGGGCATAATGAGTTCATAAACTATAGGCGTTCCATTGTTCTACAGAATGGGTGAGTCGAAATCTTAAAATGGTAAACATTAATGATGATATTATTTCTGTATACTATTTAATGTTTATAATGGTATTTTACTTTAAGCCAAACAACTAAAATCTATGAATAACAATGGTCGTTTATATTCATATCAAATGTGTTTTTATTTTTTTTCAGCGCGCAGTGGTGCAAGTATTAAATTGGAGTTTTAAATTATAATGATGTTTTTCTCATAAATAAAAATGTTCTAAGCTGTAAAAAATTGTAAGTTTCGTATAATGATATTATCAATTGAAAAATGGACACAGATGTGTCTATTTTAATTAAATTTAAATAATTTGCGTACAAATTATTGTCCATACGTCTGGAGAGTTTAAGATAATTAAAACAAAAAAAAAAATTGATAAGTGAATAATATATTATTTGACTTACCTAAAATATTTGTGGAATAACGCTCATAATTTTTTTTATTTCTAGTATTAATTTATAAGAAACCTTGTGTAGTGTTGATTTTTCAAATCTCAGATCTAACTATTAAATATGTTACGAATACCTATTGAACAAATAAATAATTTTTGGTTCGTAATTTTGACGAAATTTGCTTAAGTTTTAACTCCACACGCTCTTAATAACATATTTTCTATTTACTCATTTTGTTTTTATCCGATTATTTTGAAAAATGCTGGAAATTTTTACTTTAAATCCCTTCCTTCCACCCAAGTATCAACAAGATCTAATTCACTACCAGAAACGACCTTCAACATTAAAATTAAAAGGATTTTTACTTCTCCAAAATGTGATGATGACTAAAAAAATAAAATAAAAAATAACACACATCGTTGTAATTCCCATCCATTTATCGCTCCTTTCAGAATCTAATAAACGAGTGCCATTAGAAGTATCATTCTAAGATGTCGTTTAAAAAAAAATGTATATTATAATATTAGATACCCACCATTATATTATTATAACTTGTTATCATAAACTGTATAAAATTTTATATTGTTATTACTTAAGTCTTATTTCTACTAATATACAGTGCGATTGTTAATGCATATTAATCGATTAGATAACAACTAAATATAATAATAATTAAAAACATATATTTCTGCACTTCAATTTTTGTTGATATTTCAAAAATAAGACATCTTTACTATTTTTATGGATTTAAATGTCCAACTTTTTAAAAGAAACAGATCTTTATTCCGTATTTGACTTTGCTGACTAAAACAATGCAGATACTGAGTATATTTAAACTACCCAAATCAAATAAAACGGCTACAGTGTATGAGAATGTAGAAGTATGTATTGTATACATAAATTTCACCTTATATGAAATGTAAATTGTATATTACATATACACAATGTACATAATAAACAAGGCTCAAATAATATGTGTTAATAAATTATTTATGTTGAGAACAAATGGTTATACCCGAGAACAATTGAAAAGCGCTCAAGTTAAATTTATAAATTGTCACGATGGTGATATTGAACATTGATGATAAACATTTTTATTTATTTATTTATTCAAATTATTGAAAAATAAATAATAATTTGAATAAAATGTTTCGAATTCTTGTGTGGATTTAAAATTATAATATCGTCAAATATGTTGTGACTCTAATGTGTTGTGTAGGTAGGTGCTACAGAATCGTGGAAAAAATATGTAAATATATTATATTATTATTATATTATATAATATTATAAATGTCATCCGATTAATAAAGGAATTTCGGCTTGAATCGTCATTGAAAACACTATTCTGTTCGCTTGTTAGCCCCATTTTAGAATATGGGACCGTAGTATGGGACTCTCATACTGCAGATAATGCAAGGCGAATTGAGAGTGTTCAGCTCTGGTTCCTACGCTATTCTAGTCATATACTTAAGATACCTAGTACACCTCTTAATTATACACAGATTGCTATTCATCTAGGTATGGCCTCCTTGGCCGAACGTCGCAGGTATTAAATTCCTATGATAGTATAGATTCTCCAGTCCTTCTCTCTCAAATCTCCTTTAAAGTACCATCCCGTCTATCCCACTCAAAGGCCCTCTTCTATGTCCCTCCCACCACCACCAACTATATGGCTAATGAGCCTTTAAGACGCCTAATGTCGTTTGCCAATGCAGACCCTTCCTTCGACGATTTACTAAATTATTAATGGATATATTTCCGACATATGTTATTGTCATCAGATAAATGTATTCTATATTAATGTAAGCTGTATAGATTTTACTTCTATTTTTTCTTCTCTCTTTATTGTAAAAATGTCTGTTATCAAAAATATGTACTTATTGTAATGTCAAAAAAGGCTAAGCCCGTATAACTAATAAAATAAAATAAAATAAAGGTAATTTGACATAGCAGTGATAATTTAATATTTATTTTTTATACACCAAAACCTAGTTTAGAAAAAAATTTTATAATATAAAATGATTATGATTTGACATGCAATCATGTATTATGAAAATAAAGACATTTATTTTTTTAGAAACAGAAATTTGTATTAAATAAATATCTAGAGTATGATAATATTATATAGTTTTTGAAAGTAATATCAAATTTTTGAAAAGATACAGATGTTTTAATTTTCAAAACAAAATACAAAAAATTAATCTTAAATTTCAGCTACTGTTTCCAGAAGTTAAAAATAAAAATGAATATTTAAAGCCCCCGATGATACTATATTTATCGAGTATTTTTGTTCAAAAATCATTCGGGACCGATGTTTGACCTATATTAGAGACCATTTTTTTTACTAAACATTTATACATCATAATACATGACCTACGCACATAGGACCACTTGTGAGTTACTTGGTAATAATATTAACATACAGTAACCATTTTCTGAAGTTTTAATAAAATATTGCTTGTATTAAACTTGTATTAAGCGTATGCTCGTAAATGAACAAAGAACTATGCTTTACTTCGAATTCGTACACATAGTTACGTCTTCTTACACGCAGTTTCTAATAGACTTGCATTCAAGAATCAAGTTGCATTTAAGGGTGTAACCTTGAATACCACTGGACAGATGAGTGGTTTTATACAGCATTAATATGCTGTTGCGGTACTATCCTTTTTCTCGTATACTATGTTATGGACCGAACAAAGTGTAATGAAAACGTTTTATTCGAAGGTTAGTAATCTCGAATGATGATATTCAATGTTTCCAGCACAGATTCGATGAATTTTGGATGGTCTAATCTTCAATGCCGGTTAACATTCATTACCTACATATAATTATGTCTGAAGACAATACGTTTACATATACAAGCACTGGATAACTGAATATACGTTGGATATTTTATAACACCATAGATTTTCTGTTCAAGGAACCACTGAGAAATCGATCTGAGTAATTATGAATAGGGAGACTCTACGAATAAGTGAACATCAGTGGTAGATTTAGGATAGGTGTAATCGTAATAGTACGTATAGGTATCTACATTTTATGTGCATATAATATTAACACAACTTATTACACTTCAACCATTATGAATTATAGTGAACATAGATTATAATTGACCAACATTTCAAATGTTAATCCCAAGTCTAATAATTAATAAGTTAAAAAAAATAATAATTTTAAGAATTCAGTTTAGAACAGTTTTAATTATTACAGTTACATTATCAAAGGACAGAGCATAAGTAGTATAAGTTAAGTTGGTGTAATGAGAAGTAAAACTAGTGGGTACTTTATCTTTTAATATTTGATACGATGATATCAATATATCATAATATGAGATACGACGAGCAAAAATGCGTTTTGTTTACTGCTTGTTTAGTCCCTAATGGAGTATGGATTTAATTTTCCGTAATTACAAAAGCATGATTACCTACGAAATGTCTATGTACCTAATCAAGTTGTTATTTAGTTAAACATTAACGTACCTATCTTTAATGTAATGTGATTTTGATAACATACAACTCACCATGTAATGTTGGTTATTAAAGTATGTAATTCTCATATTTTTAATGTTTGAAAAAAAAAACTTTGTTGAATTTTAAGATCGATTGACTAAGCAAATCTTTATTAAGTAGCTATTAACAGTGGCGGATTTTCATCATTTTTCTAGAGGTTCTCCTGAAAGATAATATTATGTATTTCAAAGGTACCTATTATTATAATTTTGATTAAAAACTTTTGAACCGTTTTCTCTATATGAATTGATTTCAAAGCCAATCAATTCAATCTAGCCAGAAATTCAAATTTAAATATAGGTAATAATAGCTTTGGTTATTGGCTTAATTTTGTTTCTTTTATTTTGAAATTTGTTTGACCCTTCCGGTACCTATCTAATCGTTCTTCGATAGACTTGCATGGATTTTTAACATATTATTTCAGTATATTATTTGAAATATCTGGTAGGTAGGTATTTAGTAACAATATACAATATAATAACCCTTTGTTCCTATATAATAATGTATTTTTAATGAATATCTATAATATTATAAAATAAATATTTATATCGGTGTTTTCCAGCTCCCCCCTTCCCCATCCTCGTAAATCCGCCACTGTCTCCTATTATATTTTTAAGATCAATTTTTTGTTCAATAGTCAAGTAATTATTAATGAATAAAACAATTTAAATCGATTTGTTATAATTAATATGACATTTTAATGACACTTAAACATAATATTACGTAAGCTCGTGGTACAATAATAAGACTCCTGTAAAATACGTATTTTGAAAAAAAAACTTTAATATATTATCCAACGCAAGCCTTTTTTTTTTGGATTTTTAACATTGTGAGTCTGATAGTAACGGTATTGGTGTGTATGTTCGATGGCTCAGGTTTTCAACATATGAAATATTTAATTACAGACAATGGAAAAGAGGGTGGAATAAAGAAAAAGCAAAACACTTTGACACTCAGCTATCACGAAGGCCTTACAAATAATAGACACTGAGGCCTGTTCGGAGGGGCTTTTTCCGCAAATGTGACACCCATTCGGGTAAGAAGACACGATTATTGGAATCCGTCCCATGCGTGGTGGCAGTCCATGATTAGGGTCCAATGACCGATCCGGGGCAAATAAATAACGATAAAAAAATAAAGAAAATACTGTCTGCACCGATATATAATATATATATATATATATGTGTGTGTGTGTGTGTGTGTGTGTGTGTGTGTGTGTGTGTGTGTGTGTGTGTGTGTGTGTGTGTGTGTGTGTGTGTGTGTGTGTATGTGTGTGTGTGTGTGTGTGAGAGCCAAATTTAAATAATTGCAGTTGTGCATTGGTACACGATATGTGGTGGGTGGTGTTGTTTACTTCCGGCCCGTAAGTGTATAGCAGTATAACAGTATAATACAATTATGATATGAGTTCAATGGGGTATAAGTGAGGCTGAGTACACTAATGATTGGTTTTAACTTAATTCAGTCAGGTTAAAAATAATATTTAACGAACTAAAAGTAAACAATTGGACAGCATTTTTTTTTTTAAATAACTGAGGTTTGTTAAAATTGAGTCAAAAAAATAAATATAATCAACTAGTATAATAATAAATTGAATAAAATAATTATTTTTTTGCACACACAATTATCCTTGTATTTGCGATATCCACATTGTTTCTGGGGGACAATTTTTTGTTAATAAATTACAGTGAATCCATCAAGTAACTTCCAATAAACTTTGATTCAAATCGAAATCACAAATTCGTGGTTTATTAAGTCGTTGAACGTAACTATTAGGTACCTTAATCTACAAGATTTGGTTCGGCTGTTTAAAATATATCAACCATTGGAAGACATTTGAGGGGTCTTCGACTTTGTTTGTTTTTTTTTTTTTTAATTTTCAACTGCATTCGTAATAATTAACACATGATTTAATTGACTAACAATTCATTAAAAAAATCATGCATGCTTAAAATGTATCTGTGGGCCTCAAATAAATATTTCTCTGTATGTTGTATAAAAATGATGCCAACCAGCCTAGGCTATAGAATTCTTAGACTAGTACTGCTTAATATAATAATAATAATACAACATTTTTAGGTAGATATCATAAATACATATCAATGGGTACAGTCAATGGGTGTACTTACGGTACATTTCGATTGTGACGCTGGCACTGACAGGGGCGGACAAGTTGCTGTTTGAAGCCTGGCAAGTGTACACGGCTCCCTGATCGTACCGGCCCAGCGCTTCGATGGTCATTTCGTTTTGTTTCACCGACGATGATGATGCTGTAAATTGTCCGGAAATACCTTCGTTTCCGGTATCCATTACCGTCTCTCCCCGCCACCATCTGACCTTTGGTTCCGGGCGACCTATGGCATACGATAATGGTATATTAAAAACTATGTATTATACAGTGTTATTTTATTTTATTTTAATTAAAAATTAAATTAACACAATATAAATTTTAATATAATAGTATAATAGTATAATATAAATAGTGTATTATAATAGTATATTGTAAATAATATTAAAATAGTTTCATAAGTAGTCTCAGTGGTCGATAAATTTTCTTCTATTATATATTTATATAAGTAGGAGGAAGGGAGGAGTTATCCTATATCAGTAAACTAGAATCGATTATATAGCTGTAAGATAGGAGACGCATCGTCAAATAGTTCTAAAATATGATATTAATATAAAGCCTTATCTTAACCTTAAGATTACAATTGCATGTAATGTACATATATTATATATATTTTAATAAGTTTGCTAAAAAATATCGAGTCCAAGGATATGCCTAAAAAGCACTCGGCCAAAACTGACCTTGATTATTTTCAGTCTATTGCAATAGGATAATGTTTCATGCATGTACCTAATATAGTGTTAGAGTTTTTAAAAAAGTCCATAACACTTTCAGTGATTCGGTAACAATAATATTTCAACATTTTTTTATGGTTTTGATTTGTTATATATTTTTATGTGCGTATACTAAATATTATTGATAACACAAATTTAAATATCAAGGAAGCAGGCTGAATATTACTAAATACAATTAAGGTTATTAATTATTTTCTTCAACGGATTCTATAAAAACATCGATAAAATCAAGCTGATAACAAATTTACATTATGTCGTCAAGAAGCCACTTGTGGAGTGCTCATTACCATCAAACGCATTTTAATCGAATGCTAAACTAATCACAAAGCCAGATCCAATTTAATTCTTCCGGGCTAACCCACAAAAAAATATTGAGCAGCCATTCTCAATCAATTTCTAGGTGCCACTTATTCAAATTAATTACATTTTTGGAAATATTTTTTTTTTATTATTTTCATTTAAATGTGTTCCTGCCTACCAAAATATAATCATATGGTCAACGGTCTTGTTCATCAAATGACCAATGCGGGTCTATTATTTCAATGGGCTTAAATTCAAATAAATTCAAATAAAATTATTTTAGGATAAAATGGTGTCCAATTTGCTTTTAAATAGGTGACTAATGACTATCCAGCGAAAAGGACACCGAAGATGGTCCATGTGCAAAATGCAACGGTAAACCACTGCACAGTAGTAAAATTATCTCGTACAAATCTAGTCGGTTATAATAAAACAAATGACTTTTGGTCAAACCAACCTAAAAAAGGTTGTAAATAGAAACAAAAAAAAATAAAATAATAATAATAACATTTTGTTATTCACATTTTAGCAATATAATAATCCTTCTACGTATCATTTTAATTATTTACGCCACAAACGAAAAGGTAGTTAAGTAAATTGCAATACTGTGTGTTAAATTGTAAATTGACTAAACTAGTGTATCGTGGATTATTTTTTTACAGAATTGTTTACCTACTGAGTATGCATTTGTATTGTATTTGTATTGAATACATAAATTGGAAATACTATTTGGTATTTTATCGGTTCGTAAAATACATATTAAAAATAATGTATTTTTATAATATTGATAGGTAGTAATTTAATATCAACTTTACTTGTTTTAAAATAATTTGTAAAAATAATTTCATAAATAATTTACACAATTTTAATCTGTCCATAAAAGGATTACTTTTTAATACAAAGTTGAGCTATTTGATATATTTAAAAGTCTAATTTATTAAATAAATGTGTTTTATTAATGAACTTCAACTAGTCATTCAAAACTGTTTAGATTACTATTTTTAATGAACCAATTTATATTTGAAAAGTCAGTTTTAAACATTTAAAATCCAGTTTTGTTTCGTTTTAATAATTAATTGCCGTTTTAAATACTTTTTAACAAGTTTAATATGTTCAAAAGTAGGTACATTAAAAAACAAACAAATGAAATATTAATAATTTCAAACGAGGAAATGTCAACCTATTACATTTATTACTGGAACGTATTATTTTGTTTGATTTGATTTTAGTATCAAAGGAAATTCAACATAATTCAACATAGTTTTAATTTAATTCAATTTAGATCGAAATTTCGATTTCGAAGAATTTGATTCACTGTGCAACGTGATAGATTATTATTAATTTTTTTTTAAAGTTTTTTATATTGATTATTATATTATAATATGCTTATAATAAATATATAAAACATATTGATATCGATACATATTATTTATTAATAATAATAAAAATTGTTGGTATTATCTGAGGAGATATTCTTAAATCAACTTGAGAAAGTAATTTTTATATAAAATTCATTCTAGTTACGAGTTTGTGTTTATAATTGTATTTATAACTAAACTCAAATATATATTGTAAGATAAGAATAATCTAATGGATATTAAATTTTAAAGTATTAAAACGTTTTAACATTTTGAAGTTTTACCGAGACAATTTTACCTTTTTTTTTTATTTTTTTTTTTAATTATGAAGTTACTTTTTTTTTTTTATTAAATTTATACATTTCATAATTAAGAGATTTTACTTTCCAACGTCAAAATAATTGCGGTACTTAAATTGTATAAAAAATAGTTTTTTTACATTCTATTATTAAAACATAAATATTGTATATTGTTTGTTTTGTCAAATTCTTATTAACAACGTTTCCATTTCCACTGTTCATAAACTATGGTTGGATATAAGGTTGGGCCGATGTTGATCCGTCAATAGAATAAGATACCACAGGCTGCTAGTTTTTTGGCTACGGCATGGGTGGCATGCCAGACCCAGAAACAACAAGTGGTAACTGAATTGGAGCCACGGAAACGGGTGTGCCGGCAGCAGCCACCGCCGACAAGCTGACTGGGACTTTGGTCACGGTGCTGAGCAGGTAAGCTTGGTCATTTATGCGCAGCCATGCGTTTAGCTCCAACAAGATTTCATTAATCACTTGCAATTCCTCATTGCGCTTTTTCAACTAAACCACACACTTGCAAAACATTTTCACCTCATCTTGCAACAACAAATATGGGTGTTGATGCAGAGGCCCAGGTGGCAAGGACAATTCCATGTCGCTATTAGGAATCGGGCGCCCTAGCGGCATTCTGTTGTCAAATTTATAGCACCTACGCTTTGCATAGGACTCTTCATCGAAATCAAAGCGTCCTTGGAACAACTTATTACCGAAGTCAACTGGTGGCGTCGCTGGCTGGGGTGAATTTAAAGGACCATTAGGACCTCTAAAATACATATTTGTGCTTACCCTCTTCGACGGGAGAATGAAAAAAAATTGCAAGATTTGCCTCTATTGCACGCATTGCGCTTGAAAACATAGATCGGTTATTTCTGATTCCTGTTCCTTTTTCTCATTCATCCCTTTAGAAGATTATTTTTACAAAAATTAAACCAAAACTCCAAATAATTATTGGGATATATTAACTCTACTATAACTGTATTGAGAATATTTTGGTCTACTGTATTTTAGATTCTGAGCGGAGCGAGGAAGCTAGTGGTCTTACAATGGTGTTTATTTATTTTTTTTTTTTATATCCTGTATAGAAAATTTCTAAAAGGAATCCTTCGATTTCCACATATAGTATCTTATCTTTTAGCAAATTGGATCAAGATGGTACTTTAAAGAGGTCATTTTTCGATTTTATCAATAGTTATTTAATGCCACAGTAAAAACCACCGAAAAATTACGAAAAACCACTAAAAATTGGATTTTAATTTCTAACGCTTTTTTTATTAGTTTATTACCAAAGAAACGAATAACAAATAATAATATTATAATATTAATTCAACTTACATAATATAATAATTAATGACAATATAAAATATCTAGACTGTCAAACCGTTTCCGCTCAGAATCATTTTTCTTATACAATGATAGAATATCATTGAATTCAAGTTTAATACAATCCATTTACATTTACGCACTTGTAATCTACTGTACGCAGAGTGACATCCACTTACCTACTTTTTTTATATACTATGAAAAACTGTATATTATACAACATTAAAATGAATGCATAGGTTTAGGTTACTATGGTCAACTCGAATATCAAACTTTGTAAATTCATCAATTGGTTTTACAATACACCAGTATAATAATAAGAATAATTACCACTTTTTTTTAATGCACTCACATCTCTAGTTTATTATATTACATTATTCTCTTGACTCGAAATTATTACCGAAATTTCCATTCCGGAATAATACGGTCTATAAAATTAGGGAATATAGAATATACTATAATTAACTATAATCGTTCAATATTTTGATGAGTTACATTAATTTATAATAGACTAGGTGACAGACCAAACGAAGTTACGAATGATGGAACTGCATTTTAAAATAACGGATTTTTCATTTATTATCAACTGATTAAATCCACTGTGCTAATATTAACGATCGCTGTTTCACAAAATATGAAATAATATCACAATCGTTCCTTTTGAATGAATACAACAATTTATGCAAACAATTCGATGGTCGATGGAAACACATAATTGCTAATATTGTCGTTTACAATAATTAAAGACTAAATACAATGGATAACGATACGGTATTATTTAACCTATTGTTTATTCGAAAATAGCTTTGAACATGGCTAAAAGTTTTGTTATTTTTAAAAAGTCTCAACTTGTTGTGCACATTAGATGTCGTCAAAAAATGTCTAATATCTAAAGGATTCAATTATATTGTAACACATCAAACATTTGAAATTTGGTTAGGTAGTATTGAAAATATGTGTGTGCTTGAGAAACGATAGTAAGTTTTATATGAGTAAAAGCGAGCAAGTGATACAGAAAAAAATTGGAGTGACCTAAAAATTTTATAATATCCACACGATAAACATATATTATATACAAGTTAAGGGATTTATTTTTATGGAGTTTATATGGAGTATAAGAACGAATTGTCTACAACTATCTATTTTTTATTTTATCATTTTCCAAAAAATGCACAGAAGAATGAACGGAACAATATTTAT